CCCCCGCATTCCTCGAGGGATCGCGGCTCGACCATCTCCTCACCGCCTCGTAGATCTCCATTTCGGAATAGACTTCCAAGTCGTCCCTCCTCAGCAGCGCCTGCAACGTCTCGGCCGAGACGCGAAGGAAGTCCGGCGTGAGAACGATTTCCTGGAACTTGGAGCAAATGAAATCGAACGCCGCTTCCTGCAGCGCTTTCATTTTGAGACCGCGGGCCGCGTCGAGAAGGGCGAAGGCGTTTTCGGGCATCAGCATCTTCTGCAGTTTTTCCGTGTNGGTATTTCAGATGTCGACGGTCGAAAAGTCTCTGCTCGTCGATCATTCACCCAGTCGTCCAATGCATGATGCAGGCCCTTTCGCATTTCTCCATGTCCAGCCGCGACACCACCTTCCATTCCGTCCCATCGTACAGTTCCACCGAAGGAGTATCGATTCCGCCGACGGCGTAAAGGTTTCCGTCGAACGAGATGAGTCCGTGATTGTTCCTCTCTTCCATCATGGGAGGCAGGAGCCGCCACGCGTCCTTCCTCGCGTCGTACACGTGCACGTCCGACAACTTGCAATCGACTCCGGTGCCGCCGCCAGCGACGAAGATTTCCCCCTTGTGGACCGCAACTCCAGGAGTATTCTGGTTTCCAGGCCAGTCGGACAGCTCGTTCCAAGTTCCCGACCTCGTGTCCAGCTGCTCGTGCTTCTTCGCATTGGGAAATCCTCCGATGACGTAGAGGCTGAAATCGTGGAACACGGACGAGGCGGCATGGCGTTTGTACTTCATGTCCGGGCCCTCGAGCCATCTCCACGCTCCCAGTTCGAACTGCAAGACGGACTTGGAGATGTCCGAGTTATTCACCCCGAATCGCCCACCACAGACGAAGATGGAATCGAGTCCGACGGCCGAAGTCGGCCACTGGACGATCTCCGGCGGCGAAGGCCCGCGTTTCCACAATTTCTTGACCACGTCGTACACCTTCATCGCTCCGATCCCCGTCACGAAAAGCATTCTGTCAACCGCCGAGAAAGCCCCCGCGAAGACGTCCGAATGCGGCCATGGATAGGGGGCGAGGACCTTTATCGACCACTCCCTTGCATCGAGGGAGAGCACCTGGTTTTCGTGCAACTTCTTCCCGACGCACCATACTTTATCGGGAAATCTGTAGAATCCGGTGCCCCTGCCTTTCGTCTTTTCCTCGGGAACGGTATCGCGTAGGTCCGGATGGTGGAAATCCTTCGCCTCCATCACGAGGGCGAGACAACGACTATCCCCAGAAATGACGGGATCGCGGAACACATCCTGCAGATAATGCAACGGAAGCAGCGGAAGTCTCACGTGGCTCAAGAGTTCCGCCACCCCCGCATTCCTCGAGGGATCGCGGCTCGACCATCTCCTCACCGCCTCGTAGATCTCCATTTCCGAATAGACTTCCAAGTCGTCCCTCCTCAGCAGCGCCTGCAACGTCTCGGCCGAGACGCGAAGGAAGTCCGGCGTGAGAACGATTTCCTGGAACTTGGAGCAAATGAAATCGAACGCCGCTTCCTGCAGCGCTTTCATTTTGAGACCGCGGGCCGCGTCGAGAAGGGCGAAGGCGTTTTCGGGCATCAGCATCTTCTGCAGTTTTTCCGTGTATTCCTCGCAGAGAATGTCGATCTGGAGATAATGCGAGTCCTTGAGCACGGCCAGTGCGGTCTCATGCTCGTCCGTCCCGTATCTCTCGTCGTAGATGAAGTCCCAGATGACCTTGAACCCTTCCGCTGAGACGCCATCCAAGAAAAAAATCCTACTATGAGACATTTTCTTGCTGAGAAACAAGCCCTTCAAGAACGGCGACGCAGATCCCAGAACGAACCGGCTACCGTAGTAGGAGACACCTTGAACGTTAATGATGACGTCACACAGGTCATTTTGCTCTCTGGAGTTCCGGGTCATGCCATCGGCAAGATAACGATATTGCACCTCGTTTTTTGTACGTTTCGCGCCGTCACACCCTGTTTCCTCCATCGCGAGGGCCACGTTCACGCAGTCGAACAGGAAGCGTTCGCGAAACTGGGGACAAAACGACACTCGAAAGGGAAACAGAGAGAGAGAGACGAGAGCCACTCGTGAAGCGAGGAAGAGAGGACGAGCCGGAGACGTGATGGGGATTCCGCGTCGTCGAGCGGTTGTTGTGGCCCCCGCTCGGTATCTGTGTGGAGAGAATGACGTCGTTTATTACTTGGACTGAAATTAATCTCGACTTCGCCTAATCTCTACTTGGTTTTTTTTTTTTTCGTTTTTGGTACACCGAAGAAGAAGGTTTTCCTGTGTGCTTCTCGTCCTCAAGGGCAGCTTCATTCCTCACCCATTTTAGAAAGGAAATTGCGGTACCAATAGACTACCCGGACGTGCATATAAAAAAGAAATAGGATGACCACTGCGAGATGTAAAAAAAAAATGTAATTGAATCGTAGAGACTAGATACGACGGACGAAAAGCCATCGACACGGGAAGGAGGACGACGACGTGTCTCCATCCGCCTCTGAGGAAGGCCCATCCGCCTCGGGGGAAGGCCCATCCGCCTCGGGGCTCCGATAAGGCGGCTGGCGTCTGACGACCGGGCCTTGCGAGCAGGAGAGGATGTGTCCTTCGAGTGCATGCGTGCGTTCTTGCATTTCCGATTCTTTCTTTGTGATGGCGAGGTGTGGGAAAGCGACGGGTTCCTTTTCGTAAGCGATGACTTCTTGGAACGATTTCCGCAGTTGGAGATGATCCCAACCAGATGAGTTTTGTGATCATTTTTCTTTTGCCCTCGCCCATCGACACGAAGACATAGACCATTCCGGATCGAGACGCATATACAATCAGAAGGAAGGAGTGAATCACGCGCCTGTCACTCGAGGAGGGAACGCAGTCGCTCGAGGAGGGAGCGCAGTCACTCGAGGAGGGAACGCAGTCACTCGAGGCACGTGAATGCGCCTTTAGTGACATCACAGCCGGGATACGATTCGCCTCGAGCTCGCTTCGATAGGGTGCGAGCTTGTTGTGGTGGTCCATGGCTCTATTTATGACTCGACCGTTGGCGATTGTTTTTAGTACCAGTCGAAAGCCCGTGTACTCACGGGGTGATTAGACGGTGAATTCCCATTTCTTCACTCGATGACGATCGATGGAAAAGAATGACGGGTGGACGCACTTGGGAACTGCCCCTAAGACCCAGCCCATACCCAATTCTTCTCAACCGCCGATCGTATTCGGAATCCATTTCAACTGCCCAGCGTACGCGGGAACGTCCGGCCTCGATCCTCGAAAGGGAATCAGTCCGACTCGCGACTCGGTTTCTCTCACGATCATCGGCGCGAGGGCATTTTCCGCGTGCGAAGTCGATGGAACGCGCCTGAAGGCTGCTAGAGTCTGCCGTGTGTAATTTGTCGCCCGGCTGTCTGGGAGCGAATGCGAATGGTATTGCACCATTTTCAACTTTTTCATCGCGCCTCATATATGTTGGATCACTTTTCCTCGATAATATCTGATTAGTGATGTTAATTTTCACTCTTTACTTATGAAGTTGCTCAACCATTTGCATTTCGCAGAATTTAAAAATATTATTTTATTTGTGCCCTGCTAGACCGAGTTTTTACCCCGTCGATACATCTTCTGCTTCTGACAAATCAGTGATATTATTTTTCTCTTATTTGTTGGATGCGGTGCGAACCTCGTAATTTTTTTCACCCCGTATCGGTCGAACAACACGCAGCTCTCGCCCAGTCAACAATTTTCGTCGGTTCATCGTCGGGCCATAGCTGCGGAAGTTGGCTCATCTTCGGCGAATGACAGGCCGGCCATTCGTTCGCCGGAAATGAGCCAATGTGGCTGAGAAGATTTCCGAAGACCGGCGTGAGATGGAGTGAAAGTTGCCGGGTGTCACTTCTCGGATTCGACTGAAATGAGTCACCTGTCCCTTCGACCCAGGTTCCCTAGGGTCTCTCACATAGATCTCAGAGGAAGACGATTGAACTCCCAAAAAACATTTCTCGAAATATGTAACCTAGCCCTGGAATCAACCGGGAAATTTTCGCCTGGAGGTGGGTGAGTGGGTCCTTCCAGTTTCCACGATAGGCCAGATAAATTTATTAGTTTAACCCTTTCAAGACATTGTAAACTCTTATAATGTTTAAGGAGTGCCTGGGCGCCTGCGGTAGAACAGACACCATTGCATCTCCATGTCATTCCGCTTCTGAATCATAGAGTGTAACTAGAAGCAAAACTCCAACGGGTAGGGGAGGGTCCAAATGTTACAGGGACATCTGGTGCTTTTTTTATCAACAATATTTCCACGAGGCCTTCTTTGTGGCAGCGGAATCGGGAATCGAATCTTTCGGGGATTCGACCCAAAGGGATCCCTCAACGTAACACGCTCGTCTTGTAGGCCCGATGATGGGCCAACAGGACATGCCAGACCATGAGCCGGCTTAAACCAACCGTATGGCAATGCCAATGATGGAACAACTTACGGCTTATGGGCGCGTCCACCAAAATCCAATATAGAGGATGAGAAAAGTAAAATTCCGTTCCTCGAGGAGTGCATGCATGGGTACATTTCCTTATTTCCAACAAGAAAAAGGGATGGGAATAGAAAGGAAAATGGACGAGAAGTAATAGGACGTAAAAGTACAGTGCCAAAACTTCAGTCGATTAGGACCTTGTATCAAACCCCCCAAGCATCAAACTGCGGTCGGGGGATTGCCGGACTCGAACATGGTACCTTCTGAACCCTAAATGTTGAAAGAAGAAAGCAAATCCAATCGTGTTCGTTCTAGAAACTACAAAAGAGAGAGAGAGAGAGAAGCCTACGTGGTGTGAAAGACCAAGGGGGGAATTGCTTGGATTCCACCATCGCTGTTGTCGCACAGGATCTGGGCGAGACTCGTCTTCCGGATCTCCGACAGTTGCGCTACGAACGACGATGGAGACAGAGAGATGATCGATGAGAATTGCTCGATGGGGAGTGTACGATATCCAGACGATTCAGTAATCACCGGGTGTAAAGGAATGGGGTTGGTCCCCGATGTCGTAGAAGAAGCGATCCCCCTTCTGGAGACGAAGGAACATGTCTCCAACGATGCAATGGAAGGTGGGTCCCAGCAGAGCGCCTGGAACCGGCGTCTCGCTGATGCCGCCGACGAAGAGATCCACGTCGTCCACGCTCTCGTAAACCTTTTTCATCTCCTGGATCGTATTCCTCGGGATCTGAGGGTAGAATCGGTCGAAGGAGCCGGCCCTGCCGAGACTGCACATCTGCCGGTAGTCGTTGTACCCTCGGACCCCGTGATCCCTGCCCCTCTGCAGGTTCAACGACACCAGATCCATTCCGAAACTCTGGCTGCGGTTTTGGAACAGATGCTCCGTCACCTGCCGGATTCAAACCGCGCTCAAGAGGTTGCGAGATGGAAAAAACGAAGAAAAAAAGACACCGATCACGAACTTCCGATGTGACGAATTGGTCGAAACTCTGTATGGACTGAGTGACCAAGGCATTGACGAACCGATCCACTCCACTCCTAGCATACAAGAGACTCGGATTTTCGAAAAGGTCGCGCAGTCTCTGAGTCTCGCTCTGCCCTCCACCTCCAAAAAGTCTGTCAAAATCCGTCAGTCCATGTCTCACCCTGCATCCGCAAATAGCGAATGGGAATAGGGGATGGACACGATTTCCTCACTTGAGAAGTCCTTGAATGAGGGTGTGGCCGAATCGAAAGGCGGCCACGGCGAATTCATTCGTCACGCTCGGGTTGATGCTCGGATCGTAATTGAATCGGTATCCCGATTGCCCCGTTCTGATCCCGAAATAATTCATGAATCTAGAGCCTGCATGAGAGGATATCGAGAGTGAGCCGGAGAAGCAATCGCAGTTCAGAATTACTATCCTAGGGCAAATATAAACATTTCTGTAATAAATTTTCGGGTTCGCACATTCAAATACAGAATTGGGAATAGGAAAATATGTACTGAAATTGGTACTTGGTGCCACATTGTTTTCGACGATCGAACACATCAAACGAAGAAGAATCACGCTTTCGAAGCGAATTTGATAACTATCAATGGACACAGAGCCTCGAAGGGACTGGGTTTTCCTGAACTGAGCTGGTGGTCTTCAGTCCGTATTTCACATTGTTTATATTGAGGCCTTTCCTAAGTATTTCTCAAAAGAATGGTTGGAAAAAATATATGTTATATGACATATTTTCCACTTGAAATGCATGAATCAAACCGACCTATTCTTTTCAAATATATATATATTTTTTTTAAAGCCCTGCTGCCCAGATTCCTTTTTTCCTTTATTTTCATTATTATTTATCACTATTTTATTATTATCATTTTATTTATATAATTTTTTTTGTTGGGGGGGGGGGGGGTGTCTCGGGAGGTACCAGAGAAATACACGTTTCCTACTTGAAGCTTAATCTCCCTAGCTTCGAAACACTATGGGAAATAGATGATAACAACTGATTGGGATTCGGGAATACCGAGAACGATCGGGAGCCATTCGTTGTAAGTGATGTGTTGCAACTGAGCGCCCACGATCCTTCTTGCTTCTTGATACAAAGTTTCGTCATCCCAAAATTGATTCAGTTGTTGGAGTTCTCTGGCGATCCGATTGTGCTGCCGAACGAAGATGGTGTGCATGACGGAGAGGCTCGCAACCTCGTTCACCCTCGTGTCCCCTATCGATGCGGGCCCCGTGAGAGAACTCGAGTCCAAGACCGAAACCGCCCTCCCTAGGACTCACCGGCGGCGAATTTCGGGGTTCCCATCTGGCGTTTCGTGCTTCCGACGGATTCGGGAGGTAGGAGGCTCCGACCGTCGATTTCGGAGGTTTTCATGAGGCCATCTTGGAATGCTCGCAGCTTCTTCGCCGCGTCGTCGTCCGATCCGTATACGGAGTTCCCGTCCAGCCAGGAGGTTATTTGGTTCATCTGCCGGATATTTCAGTTCAAGACACACGAGCGAGGACTATTCAGGGTGACGCGTTATCGATTCTTCACCTGTTCACGTGGTCCGAAGGAACAATCGGGTCGGGGAGCAGGGAGGCTTCGCACGAAGTTCATGCATCGTTGCTGTCGACACGATTTGAGGTCGGTGTCATTCCTGCCTCATTTGGTCACGAGAAGCGATCGAAATGAGAAAAGGAAAATCGTCAGATACCTGTAGTGGCCCGTAGAAGGGATCCTGTGGGGAGATCTGGATGGGAAAGCATTCAGGATGCGGGGGAGGATTGATCACATTTCCGTTCTGGCAACAACTTATTCCCTCCGAACCTTGATCGTCTGCAAGACAGCCTGGTCACTCGGTTGCAAGCGCGAACGAACGAAGGAAAACAGAAAGGAAACGAACCGAGTTTGAAGATGGGGGCGAAGGTGATGTCGTGGTCGACGAACTGTCCCCATTGCATGGTCATGAGTGTCAATTGAAGGTTCGGTCGATCCCTATCCGGAACCAAGGTTTTGCTGACGGTCCTGGCACTGGGCAATTCTCTTCCCGACACCGCCACTCGAGGCGAACTCACACCTGTCATCCCACATATTTATTCCATTGGAGTAGTGTCTAAATATTCAGTAAAGGTTAACTTTCGCCCGCTGCTTGAATTATGACGCATTTGCGTGCCAGGCGGCAGAACAAAAAGTAACGCTTCTTCATACAGTATGTACTTGGTGAAAAATGGTCTGAACCCGAACCCCCCCCCCCCTCCGTCCCTGCTAGCGTTATATTCTTTTCCATCATGCTTCGACATACCGTTAATTGGCACGTATTAGGCCTGATGAGGTTGTGCAAGACTTGACATTCTTTGGAGAGAAAAAGTTCTGAAGGCATCCACCTCAAAAGTTTTGAATTTTTCTGAACCCAGGAACTCAAAAGCCACTGGGTAGAATTTTTCAGCTCACAAAATATACCCGTTTTGCTATGTTGCAAAGTTCAAAGTTGCAAGGTTCATGGATATTGTGTCTTCATGCGAAAAAAGTGTCCTGAGGAGATGTAACTCCAACGTAATAATTTTCACATTATCACAAATGAATTATTTTTAAAAGAACTCTTAAAAATATGTCATTTCAGCTTTTCAAATTTACTTTTTTCGTGGGATCTAAAATATTTTTAAGCGTGTTTTTATCCCTCCCCCAACTCAATAAATGTGCACATCGAAAGTCGGAAATTTCTGAGACTAAGCTAACGCGAGAGACTCCCGTGTGCCAAGTTTCACCTTTCCATCACACGGTCTGAATCAGAGTCGATCACTCGGTCGAAATCTACATATTACACGGCGAGGCCTCACCATCCGCGTAAGCGGGCCGGAGCAGGCGCTGCATCGCGGTCCTCGATTGCCCCGCCTGCGGGACTCGCAGGTTGTTGCAGGATCCGTCGGGCGATCGGAACCGGGAGCCGGGGTCGCACGTCGGCGGGTCCGGGCAAGTGCCGGACCCCGAAGTTCTCAGCATGCTGTATTTCGACAATCCAAACGTCGTCTGGTCCGGACTCAGATCGAATCTGCGAAACGGGAGAGGCGGGGACGAGGTGTCATCGACGGACTATTATTGACCACGCCGAAACGAAAATTTCACCTCGGATTTGTTCAAGTTACGGCATTTCAAAACTGACATTCGTTCCAAGTTTTCCTCTTTATTTCTGATTCCCACTGGACGAAAACCGTTGAAGGCGAATTGCAGGAGTGCCCTGTAATTTAACGTTCGATTTCCAATATCTTTTTAAATTACGAATGTGTTCATGCGAAAGCGTAAATTATGCTTACGCAGCCAAAACAATGCAGGAAATGTCAAGCATTCAAACTCGAAGCTTTCAAAGTTAAATATGAAGCTATTCCTAGAAATATGAATTTAAAAAAGGCAGAGAAATTCGAAAAAATTTTCTGTTTTACCTCAAAGTCATTGGACTTGATGGCCATCCTCTGAAAAAAAAATCACCCCAGGGAAAGAATTTAAACGAAAAACTGCCCGTCCTCACCGTCGGGAGAGATTCCTTGCCGCTTCCACGCCGACCAAGGCATCCTTCGCTAATCGAATGGCTTTCTTCTCGGTCTGGAAGAATCTCTGATGGAAGCCGGCCGGCGTCCCCGGCTGCACGACCATCCCCCGATTCAATAATTGCGAAGAGATCCGGTCGAGATGCGACACCATCTGGACCCCAAAGAGCATCGCCTCGTCCAATTGGCGCTGAGTGAACTCGCGGACCGAGACGTCTCGTTTCGTCTCGTCATGGATCACCAATCCATCCCTACCTAAACGGCGGAAGTAATGTGATTTTTTGAAAGGCCGAACAGACCTCGGGGATCCTCGAGGCGGATTCGTACCGGAGGAGACGGAAGGTTCCAGAGGGCAACAGATGCCGGGGACTCCGTTCCCCAGGGAACACTCGGACGAGGCGAGATAAAACGCGGAGCAGGCGACGTGGAACGTGCAGAATCCCGGCATCCCATCCTTCGTCTTACACGGCGCGTCCAAGTCGACTAGAGCTTGAGGCGGTGATTGAGCTCTGCCCCGAAAGGCGATGAGCCCTGCGCCCCCAAGCATCAACCTACTCAGAAGAACAGTTGATTCATGCGACCGTGAAAAAGATGATGGGGGAAACCACTGATTCTATCATTCTTTTCTTGCAGTTACGTTTTCGTGCAAAAAAAATATAGTGTTATTACTTGCAGACTTCTCATCTGAAAGGGTCAAAGACAAGTTCTGGGAAAAAGGACAATCAAATTAGTATACTTTTCGATCTTCTGGGAACTTCCTGAAGGATGGCGGAAAAATTTACATTTTTTATGAATTAATTACTCCATTTTGACAACGAATACGTACGAATAGTACGTGGTATAGGTTCACCAGTGGTTATTTAATGTTCTAATTATAATGTAAGTTTCTTCCCGGGAATCTTCAGACAAACCGAGTGCAAAAAATCATGCACATTGCGGTTGAATGGAAACAGACATAGGAACTGTGACTCGAGACACATCTCTGCCGCATTTCATCTTAGGAATGTCACCTATATCTGGACTGGACAGAAGCTCGACTCACGTTGCAACGAGGAGATGAATCGCGTGGCAGGTGATCATGCTGGTATTCGTGGGACCGTGCCGTATGGCCGAGGTCGATGGAGTAAATGGCACGGACGGGGTAGATCTGGAGGGATTGCCATCCCGTTGCCCCGCCCAACGTCTGCCTCCAGAGCGGCAAACTCATCGCTCCGATCCGTCACCCAATGAAGACATCCATGGGACATCCCATGTAGATCCAACGTTAGATACGTGACCGCCCGTCGATTTCACTATTCAATGTCCTGCGGATATTATCGGATACCTCTAACATCCAGAAGACATCCCGGAAGGTGACTTCAAAAACTACCAGAAGAGTTTGGGTTCGGGTCGGAAAAAAGTTGCCAGGAAACTCTCCAGATCGATCGTATAGCGATGAAAAAGGCTCCAGAAAGTCCGTCGACTCTAACCCAGCAATGAAGCTAAAGTCATCACCAGGGTCACAACACGATAGGAGCGAGGAGCATTGGCATCACGTGACACTTGCCAACTTGTTGAGAACTCCCGGACGCCGTCGCCGGGATAGATCGATGAAACATAATGGAATCTGTTTCTGCCCTCTACACTTAAGAACGAATCTACAGGGGAAAACAGGGAATCCCAAAACGAGATTCAATCCCAGGTGAAGTCCATCTGAGCTGGATCCAATACCACCAACAAGTAGTTTAACCCTCCTCAAAGCTACCGAACGGCAAGGTAAGAAAAGGATTCAAAATCTGGCATCAGAATGAGAGAGCATCCATGACCATAGAGTCGCGCGATGCATCGAGAGGAGGAGGAATGCATCCGGCATCCCCATTGAACGCACCTGCGCGCGCGTCACGCGGTCTTAGCGACACGCTCGCAGGGAATGTCTTCACCTCCTCGAGCATCACGTGATCTCCGCTTGGGAATGACCGACCCGATGATGACAAGAAACTCGATGGGCCATTCGTGGGCCTCGCGCTGCATCTGGAGAAGAAACATTCGAAATGACTCACTCGACCAGAGCCTGCATTCGACCAGAAGTGGGGGGAAAAAGCACCAGGATATGTTTCACTTCTGACAGATAAAAAAAGTTCTGGCATCGAGATCGGAGAGCGAAATTAGCCGATGAGTCGCATCCCCATAGAAACACACTGCTGCACGCGGATGAACGATATCGGCGGAACGCTGTCCTGGACTCCTTGAACATTAAAATGCCAGTTGTGTCGGTAGGCATGGCATTCAAACAATCGGAAGGAAGGTGAAAGTCCGGAATCGGCTGAAAGAATGTCGTGAGAACTGCCCGAGATTAAAAAGAATGTCGTGAGAACTACCCGAGATTAAAAGGAATGTAGTGAGAACTGCCCGATATTAAAAGGATGATGGAGTTGTGGAATTCCAAATTTCGCCCAGGCACTTCAGGCAAGTGCCGGACCCCGCAGTTCTCAGCATGCTGTATTTCGACAACCCTAACGTCGTCTGGTCCGGACTCAGATCGAATCTGCGAAACGGGAGAGGCGGGGACGAGGCGTCATCTACGGACTATTATTGACCTCGCCGAAACGAAAATTTCACCTCGGATTTGTTCGGATTTGTTGTTTGTGCGATCCTTGCACGTCGATCGAGCGAAAAATTCAATTTGAAAGAGGATTCTGACGAACGCTGTCCTCGGCGCCCTTGCCATCGGCTTCCTTCTCCTGCCCGACAGAAAGTGTATGGAAGTGATATCCGTCACCCGAATGCACGAAAGCGAGGAAAGACCGGAAAGAAGACGCCGGGAGACCTCCATCGCGTCACCACAGACCTCCATCCCGGCACAACAGACAGCTTAAGACCTCCCCGGGAACGAGATGAGCAAGGTTGGGAAAATCCGACAGGGTTCCGCCCTTTCCAGGTATCTCCAAGGAATGTCGGCGTGATGCTGCTGTATTTCTCCACTGATGCCTCTTGCTTCCCCTGCTGCCAGCAAAACAACACGAGAACGCATTACGTTGCTCGTTTGAGCAGGAAAGATAACGCGACCGCTCTGAATTGTGAGTCTCATTTTACCCCACCTCACCATATATAGAGTAGGTGAGACTAATTCCGGCCCTGCTATCAAGTCCGCCTCCCACTTTACGTAATTCAACGCAATCATGAATTCAAACAGCCTTTTTCAACCAAATTACTTCGATGTCCAGTCTGAAAATGTGAATGGGCAGCGTGTGCATTTTCCTCTCGATTGTCATAGATGAAAAAAAAAAAAGAATTTCAAAACGTAGCTGAGGGCAAGGATTTTGAGCTGAAGGAATTCGCATCACCTACCCTACATACTTACTGCATATTGAAGGTGACATTCGAGTTCATATTTCCTGGCAAGGCTTGTACGTGCTTCGGCCCAAACACATGTGCGCCTGCTGCTGAAGCAGATGGGAAAAAAGAACTCGACATGGCCATCCCCACACGCGAGGGAAGCTGCCTCCCGTCACCGCGACGACGGATCCGGGTCGCCTCTGAGCGAAGCGAATCGCCTCGGAACACCGCCGCGAGGCCTCCAGAGAAAAAACAAATCGTAATTTTTTCGCGCCTTGGAACCGAGAAACCTAAAATCAAAATTTCTCACCCCGAGCACTTTTCCAATCGCCAAAACTTCTCTCACGAGTTCGCGAACGAGACGAATAGGACTCGAAAGTGAAGGGGAGAGCCCAAGCAATTCGCGCGAATACGAAAATAAATTTCAGCCCTATTCGCACTGAATCTTCTCGCAGTAATGTAGATACACCAATTTGACAAAAAAAATAATAATAATTTCGCCGTGGTTTGCTCTTTTCTTTCTTTTTATTCGTTCCACATCGAAATTCGTTTTCTTCCGTTTATATAACCCCCCCCCCTCGAAGAACATTTAATCGACCGGACATCTGTTGAAATCCAGCATGGCCTGCTCTTCGCGCTGCGAAGACCTCGACGGAAAGAAAAGGAACGACCATCCCCGTGGAAAGTCCATCGAGGAAGTCTCGACCGACCTCGTCGGACTGCCTCCACGCCGCGGCGCGCCTCCATCCATTGCGCATCGAATCGGACACCGACGAAATCTCACATCTCGGAAGAGATTCGGTCGGACGAACACGCCGATCTCGAATCCGCATATATTTCTGGCAGCACCTCGTCCATTTCCTCGCGCCTTTCTTCTCCCACGCATCCACCTGACCTCTCGTCTTTGCTCCTCGGTCCCTGCATCACCGCCCGAAGCACGCACTCCACGCCCCTCGTGAACCCCCAAGAAGAGACCCCGAGTCTCGCTCGGCGGCTAAAGCGACTCCAACCGATTCCATTTTTTTCGCCATCCGGTGCGAAATCGCGCTCCACGCTATCGGTTCCCTTAATAACCTAAATGCCTGGACTGGTTTCCTTCCTCGTTCGCCTCGAGCTATTAGAGCCGCAGCATTTCTGAACGGCTCTCATGCGCGAGTCCATGCTCCGCGTGGCGATATCGAGACTTTCGATCGTGCGGACTGGAGTCCATCTCATACTGAAGATGGAGAGATGGAAGAAGGAGAAACTGGAGTCCATCTCATACTGACGCCTTTTAGAGCTGCGACGATCGAGTTAAATTCTTTTCACCTTGTAATGAAATCCCTCATGGGCAGATGATGGTCGGATGGGCCGTCGCCTGGCGCCCTTCGTTCTTTACGTCCTCGTCGGGCAAGAGGGAAAAAAAAAAATTCGGAGGGAATTCGCCACCGACCGTGGCCTTGACTGGTTCTTCCACGTCTCTGCATGGAAATGCGACGCAGAAAATAAAATGGTCCCAGGAGCGCTTCGGGTCGGCCAGATCCGCGAATGTCATGGGGTAATTACCCTTCCACGAGTCGACATCTGGCGATCCTTTCTCGACCGCGAACCGTCGAACGGCGGCTTCGAAAACGCACATGCGACTAAACGAACCCTTGAAAAACCTTGAACCCTTATCATTTTCGTGAAAATAAATACTTGAAAAAAAAAATATAGAGTTGGATACCTTTCTCCTAGTTCGTTCTCGACATCTGGTCGAAATACGAAGCGGAAAAAAATTGCCACTTCCAAGAAATGACAATCTGCAGATAAAGAAACGTGGAAACATCATTTGCAATATATTGGCTGAAATTCGTTCAACTGATGGTGAGAACATATTAATATTTGCGAACTTGATAACATATTAATAAATTAATATGTTCTCATATTAATATTAACATTGAAGCCGGAAAAATGCCTTATCCAAGAAACACCAATCTGCAGATACAGAAACGTGGCGCATAGTCCGAATCGATCATCAACTTTTAATCCCTCTATCATTTCCATCGGGTCAGACGCGATACGAAGACGTGCAGTGCAGTCTGCGTTGAACATTCCGTTGAACATTCCTCGAGACAGGTCATTCGCCGGTCTCGAGTTCTCTCGCCCAGGCGAGGACCCAAATCCAGCGTATTTCGTTCATCTGGCCATTTCATCAAGCGTCATACGAGGACCAATTGCTCTCGCGTCTATTACTCATCGAATTCACGTCGGCAGTATTTTTTTCCTTCAGAAGGCGTGATCAAACGGCACGGTTCCTTCAAGCATTCGTCACCGCTTCATCAGCTTCATTCGCTGCCGAGAGGCCTTTGCTGCGGATGAGTTTACTCATTTCCAGATTGAAAAACTGACTAGTTCTAACACTTAATTATTCTTTCATTGCGACGAGACTGTTTTTTTCTTGCCACTCCAATCGCACCGATTCTTCGCTCCGACTGCTGGCGGGGCGGGGCGGGGCATCTTCCCGCTCCCGG